TGATTGCCAATGAGACAACTCTCCACAAGATACCAAATTACATAGAAATTAGATAGGTCAAAGTAGGACCTTCAACAATGAGCAAAACCCATACCGCATATAGTCAGCTATTAAAGGTCCCGAAATGACATATGTAAAACAATCCAAACGAGAAAACTAGCGGCCTGATTTATGTACAAATAATGAACGAAAAATAAATATGATATACAGTTACAAACGACAACCGCTGAATTACAGGCTCCTGACTTGGAATAGGCACATACAGAATGTGTGTGCATTTTAAATAAATTTAAATGCCAAGCCTAAGTACAATACTCCAACAGCTAACCTAGCTCCTCTAATATTCTCTCGAGTTTGGTAAATCTTTTGCGATCTCAGGCTGAAAAAAATTAGAAGTATAAAATGATTGGAAAACACATGAACATATACATATCGTGACGCAAAAAATATGCAAATTTCATCACCGGAAGTAACTGTTACCATCTAGGTAAAATCCTAATTAGGATATTGTTGTATATATATATTAGAAATTTGATTATCAAAAACATTACTTGTCAAGAAAATCCTTCAATACAAAAAAAATGACAGTTAGTCATCATTTAAATGTTTCTAATTGATTTGACATTCATTATTTTGTTGGTTTTTTTTACATTCTGAAAAAAACCCACAAAATTGTTAATGAAGGCGATGTGACATGATTAAATGTTTATAGTCTACAATTTAAATGTATTTGTAAAAATAATTCACGTATGAATTATATATGGAGTTTATTTTTGCCATTTCATCAATTTAAGTTACATATAAAAAAACTTATTTCAATGGTGAGCTCTTAGACTACCAAAACCTTTATACATGTATATCCAAAATGGTTGTTTAAATCATTTGATTTCGTCATCAATCTAATAAAAAATATAGTTTTCTGATTTCGTTATACTCATGCTTATATGTGCGAGCATGCGAGTTAATATAGGTCTGAATTTTAATCAGATTGATTTCGTCATATGTTACCAATTTGTTTGATAACAACCTATCTGTATATATGAAAACAATCCAAGTTTATAGAATTGTTTGCACCACAAACATTATTTTTACATATTTTTCGATGTTTTATCGATATTGTCAACATCGCGATGTCTACTGTACCGTTTCTATACCTTTGTGTTCACATTTTTTACATAGAAGACATTGCGATGTTGACAATAGCGAGTCAACATCGTGTTTATATTGTATACCAAGTTTATACCTTTGTGTTTACATCGTTCACACCGTATACATCGCGATATTGACAATATCGTGTCAACATCGTGTTTTTATTGTATACCGAGACTCTGTGTTTATATCGTTTACATCGTTGTTCAAAACTGTAAAATTTTCAGACTTCCAAAAAATTTGACATAGTTGTTTGACAAGCAATAATCGAAAATTTAACAAGTAAAGTAGCCTTTGATTGACAATAGCTCCCATAATTAGTGATAAATGTAAACGATGTAAAAACGATATCGTAAATAAATTGTAAATATTACGAAGTTAACGGTGTAAACAGTATATAAAAGTGCATACACTATAAATGATGTGGACAAGATATCGTGAAAACTGCAATATAAACGATGTAAACACGATATTGCTAATACATGTACATTGTAAACATCGCGATGTTAACATTGTTAACCGATGTAAACAGTATATAGGAGTTCTTACAATGTAAATGAAGTTAACACGATATCGACAAACATTGTTACTGTCGTGATGTTAACACAATATTGTTACTACATTGTATACATCGCGATGTTAAAGATGTCAACAGTTTATAAGAGTTCTTAACATGTTGACGATGATGACACGATATCGTGTTAATATTGTAAATATCGCGATGTCGTCAATATTGTTTTTACATTGTACTGGACATGAATGGCATGCACACGGTATTTAAAAAAAAACGAAAATTTTATTATTTGATAAAAAGTAATTGACATTATTACTATAGTAAATATGAATAATTGATAGAAATATATGTAAAACTACGTATAATTAATTTTACTTGGATTGATACTGCCTTTGTCTCATTAGACAAATTATACCGAGGTTTTGTATGTAAACTTTTACTTCTAAGGTTCAAAATGTTCATAAAATATATATTTTTGTATTTCGAATGTCTGTATATAAAAGAAATAAATGCTGTAGGTGTAAGGATGTTTTCTTCTGATATTTCAGTCTCGTTGAAATCTCGTTCAGGAATTATTTCCAAAACATTTGATACAAGTGGAAAATATTAATGAATTTAAAAAATATTATAATCAAACTAGACTCTGTGAAAAAATTGTGTACTTAGAATAAGTCATTTTTGAGTAATACAATTTTCAAATTTTATAACCAATCCGGTCAGTGTCATCAACCAAAGTGTTGAGAAAATGGATGAGGGGTACAAAGAAATGATTTTACCAAAAATATGTACATCCCATATCAATTTTTTCTTTTAAAAATTCTTAAATTAAATATGTATTTTTTCAATCATTTATAGCAAAGAAGTTGAAATAATATGCTTTTTGTTCTAAAAAAAAAAGAAGAGAAAAATCCCAAATTTACAAAATTGACAGCATTCTGTATAAAATAAAAAAAAAGTTTAATTCTAGAAATGTTTGGCTCCTCAGAGGTGTACATCCTTAATCTAAAAACGGATTGAAAGCAAGTGACGATCACTACTTGTTTACTTGCTTCGCCAACGGCGAAAGCAGGTCTAGTAACCGCGCGACTAAGTCCGTCCGTCCGAACTGAATCAAGTCATAAGTTTGTGAGTGAAAGACAAAGTTTTGTTAAAAAGCATATATCCCAATAAAATGCATGTACTGAAATTATGCCCAGATCAAATATTTCACGAAGACTTGTAGAACTATTCGCCTGTGTATGATATTGACTCGTGACTGCATGACACTGATCTATTATAGAAATTGAATGGCGTTTTTTTTAATTAATACCAAATGAAAGCAAGTCATCTATACATTTTGCATAAGGCACAAAAGCGCTTAGTGGCTCTTTCTATAAAACAAAACCAATAATTTCGTCGCGGTGTATAACTGCTTGAAATTTCAAACTATCGGCAAACAGGAATTTGCTGCACGGCAGATCTAAAAAAAAAAAAGCTTACACGCTTCAACTTAGCAGTGTCAAGCTGCAGACAGAAAAGAATCATTCCTTTTTCATAGAAAAAATAAGAAAGCTTCAGTGAAAGTTTTCTACCCAAGGACTTTAGAACTTGAGACTACAATAACATAATATGTTGGCAGTCTCAGTTTGTGCGCGAGTCGACCGAGTTTACATATCAATAACCTCTTTTAAAATAACATGCATTACTATAACAAATATCGCTACATGCCTAAAGTAGGACCGAGACTTCGTTATAGTCGTCAATGTCGTGTTTTTTTTCTATCATTAGACAACTTGTTGATGGTAGATCTTTGATATGTTCTTTTTGGGAAAGCCAGAAAAGAGCTTTACAATCTCTACAATCATTACGAACGCCATCAGGAGATGGTTGACCTTTTATGTACAATGTAAGGGGCGCAATAAAGACACGAATTTGGTCCCATAATGTTGACGAACATCTGAACTCAATTTTAAGCAAATGTTTTGGCATACATGCCAAATTTTAATAATAAATGGGGTTTAAAAAATACACTTGAAATATGAAAAATCTTGGTACTTGAAAAATGCGAAGTAAGTTTTTTGCAGAGTATCATAACATAACACTGCAACCTTTTAGATGCGTCGAAAAAATTATGTTGCACTTTTTATAGCTTTGCATCTATGTCGATACACACTTTAGGAGAAAAGTCTTTATTGTCAAAATCAAAGATTGCGTTGGTTTTGTCTTGAAATGGTCTCATTTTAGTTCATCCTACATCGGCATTTTTTTATATTTAACAAAAGACAAGTGTCTATCTAAACATGTGAAGCGTTCTAAATCGCCCAGAAACTAGACATTGTTTTTACATATTTAACAGAGACAATCAAGTATCAACATTCTTCTTATTTTTAATCCCCCTATTTTTACACACTGGGTTGGGTTGGCCATAATATATTGAGTACTTGTATAAGAATACTATTCCAATGCATTTGGTACAGTACAGCAACGGTATTGGAAAATAATAAAATGTCATTTTTTTAACACAGCGAGTTTTTCCTCAATCACTTAGTCTTTTAATTGCATGTGACAGTGTAATATTTTTCAAACATTGTGTCATTTGTTGACATAGTTGTTAAAATTGTGCACACTGTTATTTTCAGAATGATATTGTTGACTGAATGTTACAAAATTATGCACACTGTCATCAAGTTCAAGAATAACATTGTTACAACATTTTACACACTGTTGTTTCCAGAATAACATCAGAGACATATATACACTGTATATATGTCTCTGATAACATTGATGAAATCTTGAATGTCACAAAAATATGCACAATGTGATTCCTAAATAACATAACGATATATATATTGCGATCGCAAATTTCCGAGACATATATATATGTCTCTGATTTATTATAATAATAACAAAATAATGTTCAATCAAAATAAAAAATAAAACAACTAAATGTACACCAGAGACATATCTAGCACTATAGTCTTTAGATAGACCCGCTTAAAAGTAATTAATTTTCTCTAAATAATTTTTACTTATTAGTTAAATACCAGAGACACATTTGTAATACAATATATCAAATGATATGTCTCGATCTGTTTATAATACGATGTTCTTTCATTATGAATATAGTATAAAAATACGGAGGTACTGTATTATTGCTAACGATACAACTAAATATCCGAGACCAAATTCCCGCACTGTCAACAACATGCATAACCCGTAACGTATAGAGTGCTCTAGTAAGAATTATTCTTTGTTGGTAAGCAATACACAAATTGTGTATTTCGTAAGAACATGTTTGTGATGTCATCAAGTTTTGCTATCTAATTCTAATAAACTCCCATAATGCCTTTTAACCCCACCCAACTCTTGTCAAATTGACGTATCTGTATGGTTGCCTGCTTGCTAATGTCGGCAGACGAGGAGAATTACACCAGTTTAATGTCTAAGCCAGGCATTTTAGGACTTTTAGACAAAATTGAAACCATCTATCAGTAGGTTAAATCATCCATCGATAACAATTCAGAGGATACGTGAAGGATTATCCCCGGCGTAAAGCAGGAGGGGATATTTTTTGTTGTGGTTGTCTACAAAAACGGGCAAAATTTCGTCGATACTGTACAGTATGGGATGTTTTAAGCCAAAGGGAGGCACGGGAGACGATCATGAAGAAGATAAACTTAGAAAACAAATTAATAAACGGATAGATGAGGAACTTAAAAAGGAGAAACAAGTATATCGAGCCACACATAGGTTGTTATTGTTAGGTAAGTGGAGGTATTAGACGAATATGGTCGTCCATTTCACACCTGTTTTACCCATTTCAAAATATAGAATGGTCATGTATAAAACTATGTTTTTCTTTTGAAAGGTGCCGGTGAATCTGGAAAATCGACGATTGTGAAACAAATGAGGATATTGCATGTGAATGGATTCTCTGCAGAGTAAGTTCAATTATTTATCTGTCTGTTTCCATTAAATAAATCGGAATAAACATCACATATTATGTATGCATAAGCAACTGTCAATTTTTGTTTGGATTGAGGTTCTTTAAAGGAGATGTAATTTAATTTTGATTTGAAATTTGATTTTAAAATTGAAAGAGTGTTTTATCTAATTTTACAGTGAAAGAAAAAACAAAATAGAAGATATTAAAAAGAATATTAGAGATGCAATTTTGGTGAGTATTTTTTATTCAAAACAAACATGAATTTATGACCCCCAAGTCTTCCAAGATGGCCACCAGAAAATATACTAAGTCTTCATTGACAGATTTAAAAGAATATTATAAATGAATGATAGTTTCACTAAATGAAAATACAACAACACATAAAAACTGATGTCATAGTCATTATACAGTAAAAAAGAAACAGATTTATTTTTAGAATGTTCACTCATCTAAATGATGATGGTGTAATTATTTCATATTTGCACCTAAAACTATTAAAAACATATGTAACTATAACACATTGTTGTTGTGATGTTAGATTACAAACTTGAACGTTGAAGTCTACAGTTGCAAGAAAGATGTTTTTGTAATTCTAAAAGTTTCGTCTTCACTTATTCACATTTTGAGTGATAGCTTGAGCTGTGCATAGGTATATTTATATATTTATATAAATGCATAAAAATGTGCACATTTTTTTCATAATTAATAAAATTGGGTATGCATGATGATTGTTGGAAAATATTTATTACCTTAAGAGTTTGTCTTCATGCTTTTGGGGTCAGTAGAAAGTTTCCCTTTGCTCGAGGTGAATTCCTTTATACGTTAACAGTTACAGCATATTTATTCTGAAGATACTCTTTTACTCTTCCTTGTTATGTATAATCGAATCCTAAGTTTGTCCATTCCAATTATTTAACCTATACATACATATAATACTTCTTCCCAAGTTATTTTACAAATACGAAGCTTCTTTATGTGCCGAGCAGTTGTCGAATCTAAATTCACATGAAATTTTTATAGTGTTTATGCATTTTACAGTGCAGGTGTTTGGTAAATAATGATATTATTTTTTTAGAAAAAAAAAAGTCTGCCACAATACTGTGTATGAGTTGATATTACCCTGCATCTGTGAGCTACAATGTACATGTAAAGATGTAGTTTTATTTACACGTACATACATGTATAGCAATTCAATGCTTCAGCCTTCTTGAATTTGCAGTCAAGTGTGAACTTTTGTGTCCTGAATTACGATGTTCAGTGTAATACATCGTCATCCCTTCTTTGTTTACAAACAATGATAGCAAAACATCATTCTATTTGACACTTTAGACAACTCAAAACACCTTGGTATGACACAAGACATAAAAGGTACAGCTCCATTCTTGTTTACTGCAAAAACTATAAAATATCCATTTATATTTGATTGTCAAAACAGTAATGTAGTAATATGTATCAACAGATGAACAAAAATTGCAGGATACGATCATGGTATTGTTTGACCTGATTTTTCACAGAAATTTAGTCTTTTAATGCGGGCTTTCCATTTATATCTGAATCAAAGTCGAGACAATACAAAAGCAGGTAGTTCAGGAATAATGACGTCATAAAGAGCACTTTAAAGAAGATTGTTTATGTAGAAATGAGACCAATTGTTAATTTTTTTGTTAGGAACAGCAGATATCAGACTTGCTGCAGCGCAGGGGGATAAATTTTTCTGAAATTATTTTTTGATGTGATGGAGAACTAGTGCCTCATTATACACAGAGACATAACATTTTCATTTTCTGTCTTTTTTCTGAAATAGCAATGCTGAGAAACAAAAATGAAAACTTCAAGATGAAAAGCAACAATGTGATTAAACAACAAAAAAAGTCATGACAAGTGTTTCTGAATGACAACACTGAGAACTACTAATAAAATACAAATAAAAAACTTTAATATTAAGGTCAAATGTACTTATGGCTTGGAGAGTAAATTTGACGACTAATACGTCATGTATTTTACTTTTGTGTTGTAGTAAGCATTATCACATTTCTGTTTTTGTTCGTTTGACTATTTTTTTGTAAACTTCACTGTCAGGATTAGCATGATGAGTTTAAGTTAATATTGTCATCTACATACTTGTATAATTATTTTAGCTACAACATACTATATTTTTTCAGACAATAACAGGGGCCATGGCTACACTTAATCCTCCCGTTCTTCTAGAAAATCCAGATAACCAATTTCGAGTGGACTACATGCAAGATGTTGCCAGTCAAAAAAATTTTGAATATCCCTATGTAAGTAAAACATATGATCATACAAATGTATATATATATAGTTTACTTCAACTGTGGTAGTTTAACACACACTCAGTCTCTGTATCCATGATAAGTGTTCTAACTAAGGATTTTGTGGAAAAGTCTAACATGTCCAAGGACTCGGGATTTTTCGTGGTTGTGAGTTGAAAAGTTCTATAAGCAACATCTTAGTCTTAATTCAGTAATCAAGTCGTCTCATCAAAATGGAAGGATAAAAATGTGAAAAGCTTATATAATTTTGATGCATCTTTGGACCTAACTTTTTCAGAAAATGCGGAGCCCAGGGCTTCTGACTAATCTGAATAAAATATCTTCATGTACATTTGAATATGAAAAAAAATTGTCTTTCTTTTGACATTTCTTGAAGATAGTCATGACTACACTGTTTTGACTTAGTATTATTCTTGAGCTACATTTATAATATTGTAACCTGATTTGAACATGCCAATGTCAGAGTTTTCCGTAAGTGGTGGTCCTTAGGTTTTGACCACCAAAATTTTACAAAGGAGGCATACAATTTCAGTATTTTGCAATAGAAATAATAGTGAGACAAGCAAATTTTTTTCAAGGCCTGCCAAGGAAAAAAAAATTATTTAGAACTCTGCAATCTCCTGCTGAAGTTACATGTAACAATAACAGTCCTTTCTAATTTGATTTAAGGTATATAAAACAAAGCAAGTTTTTACTTTGCGTTTGATTTATTGATTGATGTTTGCTTTATGCAGTGCAAAAAGGTTATATTGCAGCTACTTAGTATTTAAAGTTGCATGTTAAATTACAACTGGTTCAGTACTATATGTCTATGAATGACTGATTCATTTGGAGCACCTGACTGTGTACAAAGTTAGACATGTTTTTCATTGAGTTGTATTTTGTAAAAAAGAATTAATTAAATTTGAAAGATGTACATGTAAATGAACTTTTGCTTCTGGAAATTCTTCACAAAATAATTCTAGAGGTCATTATACTTTTATTGAAATGTAAAATACTACCATTGGACACCTGTAATTTAATATTTTATGCCCCGCCTTTTTCGACAGGGGCATTAAGTGTTACCTTTGACCGTCCGTCCTTCCGTCTTTCTTTATTTCAGTCCATCCCTATTTCGTTTGTTTGAAGCTTGAGCGGGGGTATTCGTGTCCTCGGACACATTCTTCTTTTTTTTGTACAATTTTTCTTTCCTTTTAGTTTCCAATAGCAAAATATTGACTTTGCCATTTCTGCGTTTTTATGCCCCCGCCATAGCGGAGGGGCATTAAGTTTTACCCTTGTCCATCTGTACGTCCGGCCGTACGTCCCAAAATTGGTTTCCGTTCTCTAACTTTAGTTTGCCTCAATCAAATGTTATGAAAATTAAACTCAATGCTTATTTCCACAAAACACAGATCAAGTTTGAATTTTTGTGACTTCACTTTTACCGTTCTAGAGTTATGCCCCTTTACAAATGGAAAATTGCTAAATTTTTCGTTTCTGTTCTCTAACTTAAGTTTGCCTCAACCAAATGTTATGACACTAATACACAATGCTTATTACCACAAAACACAGATCAAGATTGAATTTTGGTGGCATCACTTTTACCGTTCTAGAGTTATGCCCTTTACAAATGGAAAAATTGCTGAATTTTTAGTTTCAGTTCTCTAACAAGTTTGCCTCAACCAAATGTTTTGAAACTTTATATACACAATGCTTATTACCACAAAACACAGATCAATTTGGATTTGGGTAGTGTCACTTATACCCCTCTTGAATTATGTCCCTTTATAATGTTATATGCAAGCGGGGGCATCATCTGTGTCCCATGGACACATTCCCCATTTATTTTAAAGTTGTACATGTATGGCAAATTGCAACAGGTTCAGTAATATTTTATTTTGGAATCAATGACGGACTCATTTGTGGCACCGACAGTGTACAAGGTTGGACAAAGTGTTTGAATATGCCCAAAAAAACTATTCGGTTTCCATGGTTACATCAATTATTTGACGGAAGGTGTGTACAAGTTGTAAGTGGACAAGTTCTTTGAATATTCCAGAAAAATAGAAGAAGCATAAAGTTTTCATGGTTACATTGAACATTTGATTTGACTGACAGTGTGTACAAGTTAAAAATGGGCAAGTTTTTTGAATATACCAAAAAATAGAAGACACATTATAAGTTTTTCATGGTTATATTGAACATTTGACTTCAGATAAATTTGAATCTGATGATTTACGTTACATTGAGCAGATTTAAGATATTGATCAATTCAAGAAAGTATGCAGTTTTGCCAAAATTTATTACCAAAATTTGTTCACCTGTTCAAGCAGATCTTATTGTTATTACTACAGTTTGAAAAAAAACGGGACACTATCTGGATCTAATAGTAAAAACTCACATTCATAAATTCAGTAGTGATTTTCCTTCATTAATTAGATCTCTCAATAATAAATACATGCATTAATTTGTGAATTTACAGTATTATATATACCCCTGAGGGCATTTGATTGGACCTATAGGGTACTGTTAATATATATCTTATATACAATCTGATATTATAGTTATTCCAAAGTAATAGCTATCAATAATTTAGAAGCAGGGTTCAACATTTTTCTCGCTGTGTTGAAGACCCATTGGTGGCCTTGAGCTGTTTTCTGCTCTTTGGTTGAGTTGTGGTCTGTTTGACACATTCCCCATTTCCATTCTCAATTTTATTCTACATTAACTGCTGTCTGAGTGACTGGGACAAGTGAAAGACATCATCGGGCAAGTTTTCAGGAAATGACTTTTTTTAGGATAAATTATGATAAAAGCAAGATACTTCAATTACCTTAAATGGCATTATGGTGTAACAACATGTATGAATGGAATTAAAGTTGGCAGAATTGTACCTGTGAACCTGCATTTTTATTAGTCCCCTACCGACGAAGTTGAGTGGGGACTTTAGGTTTGCACCGTGTCTGTCTGTCTGTCTGTCTGTCTGTCTGTCTGTCCTGCAAATCAGTTTTCCACACTTTTTATACGACCGCAAAAAGTTCGTATAATGCTATCGTGTCGTCGTCCTTGTCTGAAGACATTTGGTTTTCCAGACAATAACTGTTTAGGAATTGGGGCCCAAAACAACCATTTTTCTAGTTTGCCATTTATAATTAGAAGCTTATAAGACATCAATGAGACAGCAAGTTTGCCATTTATAATTAGAAGCTTATAAGACATCAATGAGACAGCAACCAAAAGAGGGGGGTGGGGGGGCTCAACATTGGATTTATGGTACAGACATGCAGTTTGATTTTAAAACCCATTCATATATTGAAAACCTGACCCATTAGTATGTTTCATTGCAAAATCATTAACCATTCATGTTTTTCTCACTTATCAAATGTATAAAGTGTTTGACATCTTAATTTGATTTAAAAGGTTAAAACAGCATATAATTATTACATGTATATACAGATATCTAATCGAAAGATAAAAATTACTGACCCATTAACGTTTTACATTGGTGAAATTGCGACCCATTGACATATTTGACATGTCAAAAAAGCAACCCATTCCAGCCACATGTCCTTGTATACAATGTACCTTCATTTAGGAAGAGATCCCTCCATCATGAAAATAAATAAGTGACATCTAGAGGGCGTCATTCCAGAGTTGTCACCCCCAAGGATGACTGGAGAATAAAAATATGGCCACTATTGGTCTTCTTCTGATCGGCAGTTCAATGTTAACCCTTGCCAAAGTATGGCATACGTTTGGCTGTTTGGGATGTACAAGTACGCAGTCAAGTCTGGTCAGAGTGGGGAAGTTATTCTGATGCCTCTTGTAGAGAGAGTGCCATGCTCTGTGCAGGTTAAGAGCCCTTGCAAAAACTCTTGAGGTGACCTGTTGCAAGGCAAAATTTCTGTCCCTATCCAATATACACTCATTATAGGTGGCTGTCCATATTTTCCCGACCTTTATCCTGGATGACCTCTATTATAGGACCTACCTAATTTATTTACTGTTAATTTGTTCCCGTCCTGAACATGCATGAAATATTTGCCACTAGACGTTCAGCAACCAATAATCAATCAATCAATCCAGAGTTCTCAGTAAAACCCAATTCTAAATCATAAAGATATATATGGCAACAACATTGCATTTCAATTATTGGAAGGTAGAGAAAATACATTTGGACGAAAAAGCTTAATAGCAAGAAATTTGTCTGGGATTTGTTTTTAAAGTTGCTTACCTGTGTAACATATGCAGGAGGGGAGACATGTGTTTAAGTGTCAAAAAGAAACTTTGATTTGTTAAGGATTCCTTCAGAGGTGCTTTGTGCATAAAAAATCCTAGGTTAAATGTTGAATTGTATACAGAACAATAATGATGGAAGATGCACATGGCTTTTGGATGTGACTGAAAATTTTACTTTTAAATGACCTTAATGGACCAGAAACTCCTTGACAGTGTATTCCAAAGATGACAGCCCTTGACAGTAGACATCAGTGTTCTGACCTGTGCAGGACCTTCAAAATTCTTGTGACTTGTTATGCTTGTAACACAGTGACTTGCTTTCTTCTTTACAACATAGAGGTCACTGAAGTACAAAATATATATGAATTTCTTTGAACCGGCACAGAAAAAAGTCTGCAAAAATAGCTACATGTACATTAAATCCCCTCATTTTAAGTCCTATGAGATTATTTGCTGATTTTTTTATGTCCAGCAGCAAATACGTTATGAATATTCAAGATGTTCCTCCTATGAGCAAATGACAAAATATATGGGTGGTATTTAATGATTAATATTGCAAACTTCTGGCCATTTAATGACCTCATGGGTCATTTTTAATGTGATAAAGGTTGTCATTGATTTTGTTTGCTTTGTTCTACAGCCAAAAGTAAGGCTGTTTTCCTTTTAGGAGTTAAGTACTAGTGATATTTTCACTTTTAAGATCAATTCTTAGATTTTTTTTCAATGACAACTGCTTTCATATTCTGTCTTATACAGAAATTTATAGC